AGCTCCCAAAGCCATTCTCTATAATTAAACTCTTTTTTTAATTGTCGGGTTGAAACGTCATTTCGGGGACTTTCCAAGGGTGAGGGAGCCGAGAGGAGGAGCGAGCTCCTTAACCCTTTGCTGACCCGCAGTCCGCGCCGCGGTTGGTTGGGGTGGGGCGAGGGTCCGAGGGCCCGGGCCTGCCAGCACCCGCCCCGACGGGCTCAGCAGGTGCCAGGTGGTGGCGGAACGGCCTCCAGCCCCGACCCGGCAGGGAGGCGGGCCCGAGGCGTGCGTTGTCCTGCGCGCCTCCCCAGCTTTGCTGCCCGCCCCGCGTCCCCGCTCCTTCCTGCGCCCTGCTGCCCCTTCACCTGCCCTGCAGCTCCCGACCGGGAGGCGGGGGCCAGGTCCTCCCTTTTCGCTAGGAGCGAGTCCCCCTCGTGGAGAGGGGCGGGCCAGGTATTTTGGCTTAGGGGGTGGAGGGTTAGGTTTTGTGAAAGAGGAAAAGTGAAAGTCCTTGGAATGAAGGAAGCGCAGCAGACGTGTCCGCTGGCCAATCTGCACCCTGGGCACACCTGGGCGGCAGGTGAGCTGAGGTGTGCGGCGCTGGGCCCAGAACCCCCAGAAGGCTCGGCCTAGTCAGCTCCTCCCCAGAACCCTACGGTGTCGCACTTCCCCCCAGGCTTCAGGTCATTTGCAAAATCTCCCAAATTCTTCGGATTAGGCTTTGCCTTTCTCTCAGCCTCTTCTTCCTGAGACTTGAGACTTGCCTCAAGGTCTCTGGGTGAGAGAGGGGGGGAGGTCCCTGAGCGGGGTCCCTGGTTGGAGTTGCTTTGTAGAGTTGCTGGAATGCAGAGTCCTCGGGGTGGCCCCAGGCCTAGTGAATCAGCTGCCCTAGGGTCGGACCTGGAATCTGCGTTTTTCCTACATTTCCTGCTGGTGACTCAAACACTAAGGTTGGAAATCTGTCGCTCAGGAGGTTGACCTTAAGAATGTCTCTGCCATTTTATAGCTGTGTGACTTTTCAAGACCCTGGTGGAAGTCTTAGTTTCTTTATCTCTGAAATAGGGATAATTGTACCTGGCCAGTGGAGTGCTACTGTCATGCCTAGCTAAAACCCTGTTTGCCCAGCTATTCTTTGTAAACTAAGCCATTCTCGGGCCCCCTTATTATGCCACAAAACAAGATCCTGAGGGTATTCATCTTGCAAAAGGATGATTTGGTATACACTTCCATGAAATGGTCAACTAACAGCTTGCATGTTTGATCTGCATCTCTCTCTGGCCCCCACCCACAGCCCTGGACAAGGCAGGCCCTGAGGTCTGGAAAGGGAGAGGGGACATGGCCTGGAGCCTTGAGGAGAGCAAGGTAGCCCAGGGGACCAGCTACCAACTGAAAAAATTCTGATTATCATAACTATTCCTTTTTTTCTTTCTTTCTCTCTTTCTTTATTTTTTTTTCTTTTTGGAGAAGTTTTTGCTATAAGGTGTATGCACTCAGCAGAAAGACAGAGAGACAGAAAGCGAGAAATCACCACCACCACCCCCCCGGGGGAGGATGGTCACACCATAATCCCTTCTCCTCCATTCTCCTCAAGGGATCTTGGGCACACATGCACAAGCACCTGGCGTGAGTTTAAGCCACCGGGTCTGAGACTCAAACGGCGGTCGGCTACATGGGAATCCAGTGACATAGCCATTACACCACCTGCTGATCCTACTTTTTTCTTTTTTAGGGATTGTTTTGAGAGGTTTTTGCTATAGGGCATATACGCTTGCCAGAAAGACAGAGAGAGACAGAAACAGAAAGCGAGAAATCACCCCGCAGGTGGGATGGCCACGCTGCAATCCCTTCTCTTCCATTCTCCTCTCAGGATCTTGAGCACACATGTACACACACCCGGCATGAGCTTAAGCCACCAGGTCTGGGACCCGAACCACAGTTGACTACATGGGAGTCTAGCAGCATAGCCATTACAGCAATTGCTGGTCCCAAGAATTGTTTAATTTTTTTAAATAATCATTTTATTGAACTTTATTTATTTTAATTTAACCAGAGAAGAACAGAATGAGAGAGAGAGAAGAAAAGTGAGAAAACAAACTACCGGGTCCAGGACTCAAACCGTGGTCTAACACCATGAACCACCACACCACCTGCCAGCCCCAAGAATTATTTATTTATTTTTAAAATTTTATTTATTTATTTCTAATTTTTGCTATAGGGCACGTGCACTCACCAGAAAGAGAGAGAGAGGGGACCAGTTGGCGTAATGGCTATGTCGCTAGACTCCCATGTAGTCAACCACAGTTCGAGTCCTGGACCTGATGGCTTGAACTCACGTCAGGCACTTGTGCATGCATACCCACAATCCCAAGAGGAGAATGGAGGAGAGGGGATTGCAGTGTGGCCATTGCCCCTGGGGGGTGATTTCTCACTTTCTGTCTGTCTCTCTCTCTGTCTTTCTGGTGAGCACACATGCCCTATAGCAAAAACCTCTCCCCCAAAAAAGAAAAGAAAGAGCCAGGGAAAGTGAGAAAGCAAGTCTCTAGGTGTGAGACTCAAACTGCAATTGGCCATGTGGGAGTCCAGCCCCTCAACCACCATGCTGCCTGTCGGCCCCTCTTTTTTTTTTTTTATAATTGACAGAAGGCACATGTTTTCATAGGGTTGAGGGGGGGAGGCCCTCCATGGGGTATAGTCACACCACAGAATCCCTCCTCCTGCATTTTTCCCTCTATGTACACACCCCAGTGTATTTTTCAGTCTTCCAGGTCTGAGACTTAAACCACAGTCAGCATGTGGGATCTAGCTCCCTTAACTACTAGACTATGGGGCCAACCCTGTCACAAGTATTTCTGAAAGTCAAGTTCACTGGGGTCCCGTGGCTAGTCACTAAAAGCCAAACTCTTCTATCTCCTGAAGTCCTAATGCCCCATGGAGCACTTAGTGGGCACTGGTCAGCTGTCAGTATCTGCTTGAACCAGGCAGAGGGCAGTTTAGGGTCTACTGTGAACGCCCATCTGGAACCTTTGGATTACCCTCAGGAAGCATGCTGCCTCCTGCTAGGACTATGAGAATCTAAGCCCAGGCCTAATATGGTCCTGGAGCGGGTCTGGTCAGGCCTTGCTCTCTGTTTGAAGTGAGACATCTCAACTCTCATTCTTAGGTCAATTGTTTAACATTTTCCCTGCAGAGATGTTCTACTGTCAGTTAAATTCCCAGGCTAGCCCACAGCCACACCCCTCTACACTCTTGCATGGACCAGCCTGGAGCAAACGCCTTGTGTAGCATAATCCGACTATTCCAGCCTTGACTTTCTTTCTTTCTTTCTTTCTTTTTTTTTTTTTAAGTATTATTTTATTTAACTTCTTTATTTATTTATTTTAATTTGACCAGAGAGGGACAGAGCAAGGGAGAGAGAAAGTGAGAAAGCAAGCTGCCAGGTCCAGAACCCCAACCTCACTCGGCCATGTGGGAGCCCAGCACCTTTAACCACCACACCACCTGCTAACCCCTCCAGCCTTGACTTCCACTTTCCATCTCTACTTCTCCCATTCCCCCCACCTCACCCCCAGGGGACTCCCCCTGTGATCTAGTCAATTTTAGATGAAAGTGAACCTTCCTCCTGCCCCAGGGTCTTTGCATATGCAAACCATTCTGAATGAGTCCATTTCCATTTGGTCCAAGTAAATTCTAAATCATTCTTTTGAACCTAGCTCCACCCTCACTCCTCAGGGAAAACATTTTTTTTAGAATTTTTTATTTCATTTTATTCATCATCATTATTTGTTTTAATCTGACAGAGAGAGAGAGAAGGACAGTAAGAAACAGGGCACCAAGTCCAGGACTCGAACCATGGTTGGCCACGTGAGAGTCCAGTGCCTCAACCACCACATCACCTGCTGGCCCTGAGGGAAAGCATTCTTTTTTTTTTTTTTTGTAGAGTTTTTTTGCTGTAGGGCGCATGCGCTTGCCAGACAGACAGAGAAAGACAGAGAGACAGAAAACAAGAAATCACCCCCCAGGGGGGATGGCCACGCCACAATCCTTTCTCCTCTATTCTCCTCTCAGGATCTTGGGCATGCACTCACATGCGCCCGGCGTGAGTTTAAGCCACCAGGTCCGGGACTCGAACCACGATCGACTACGTGGGAGTCCAGCGACATAGCCATTACGCTATGTCCACCTCCCTCACCAAGATATCTGCCCTTCCCTTATGTTCTCATGTAATGTTGATTTGCCTTCAGTTATTTTAGTATGTGAATATACATTCATTCCTGTAGCTTTTTTAAAAAAAACAACTTTTTTAAAAGAGAGATATTTGTTATAGGGTACATGTGCTTGCCAGAGAAACAGAGAGGCAAAAAGCGAGAAATTACTCCCCGGGGGATATGGCCGTTCTCCATTTTCCTCTTGGGATTTCGGGCACACACACACACACACACACACACACACACACACACACACACACACGGGCCCAGCATGAGTTTTAAGCCGCCAGGTCCAGGAACGAACCATGGTCAACTATGTGGGAGTCCAGTGACATAACCATGATGTCATCTGCGTGTTCCTTTTAATGTTTTAAAGTACAGTAAAATTGACCTTTCTTTGGTGTATGGGTCTATGAATTTTAAGATATGAATAGATACATGTAACTACCACTAGAATCCGGAAACAACAGTTCCATCACCCCCAAAATACTCCCTCAAACCATCCTTTATTATCATATCCCCCCAGGCCTAATCCCTGTCAACCACCGATCTGTTCTCTCCCACTATAATTTGTCTTTTCCAGAATGTCATATAAATGGAACCATACATTATTTATGATTTCACACAGCATAATGCCTTTGAGATATCCATGTGGTGTCATATAGCGGCCCACTCTTCGTTATTGATGAAAAGTATTTCACTGCGTGAGTATACAGTTCGTTGTTTATTCACTCACCTGTTGAGGGACGTGGGATTACTTCCAGTTTGTAGCCGTTATGACGAGAGCTGCAATAGACATTCATCTACAGGTTTTTGTGTGGACGTAAGTTTTTATTCCTCTGTTGTGAATAACTAGGAGTGGGATTGTTGGATCATATGGTAAGTGTATTTTGTGTGTGTGTGTGTGTGTGTGTGTGTGTGTGTGTGTGTGTGTGTGTGTTTGGAGAGATTTTCGCTATAAGGCACGTGCGCTCGCCAGACAGACAGAGACATAGAGACAGAAAGCGAGAAATCACCCCCCAGGGGGAATGGCCAAGCCGCAATCCCTTCTCCTCTCGGGATCTTGGGCACGTACACACATGCGCCCGGCGTGAGTTTTAAGCCACCGGGTCCAGGACACGAACCGCGGTCGACTACGTGCAAGTCCAGCGACATAGCCATTACACTAACTGCTGGTTCCCTGATAAGTGTATGTTGAAATTTAAAAACTGCCAACCCACTTTCCAGAGTGGCTACACCATTTTGCCTTTCCAACAGCAATGTATAAGAGTTTCCAGTTGCTCCACATCTTCACCAGCACTGGAAATTGTTACTATTTTCAAACTTTAATCATTCTAATATAGTAAGTGTGTAGTAGTATCTCATTGTGGTTTGAATTTGCAATTCTAATGGCTAATGATGTTGAACATCTTTTCATGTGCTTATAGGCCATCTGTATATCCTCTTTGATGAGGGGACTAGTTAATCTTTTGCTTATTTTTTAGTTGGGTCATTTATTTTCTTACGGTTGAGTTTTGAGAGTTCTTTATATATAATGGATACAATTCCTTTGTCAGATATGTGATTTGCAAATATTTTCTCAAGTCTATATCTATCTCTTTTTTTAAAGTATTATTTATGTCTTCCATAAAACAGAGAGATAGAGACAAAGAGACAAAGAAACAGGTACCCTCAACAGGGTCCTCATACCTCAGTCCACCCCAAGTATCAGCTAGCCCAGATCACAGGCATGCTTTCACCCAGTATGCTCAGGGAAGCTCCAAGATACGAATTCAGGACCTTTCCCATCAGAGTGCAGTTGCATTACCATTGTGCCACCACCTGGTCCCTCTTTACATTTTCTGAACAGAGTATCTTTTATGAAGCAAAAATTTTTCATTTTAATAAAGTTTTCTTTTTCCATTTTATCTTTCGGGGTTCATACTTTTGGTGTCACAGTTAAGGAGGCTTTGCTAACCTGCACTTGCCAGACAGACAGAGAGAGACATAGAGACAGAAAGCGAGAAATCACCCCCCAGGGGGGATGGTCACGCCGCAATCCCTTCTCCTCCATTCTCCTCTCGGGATCTTGGGCACGCACGCACACGCGCCCGGCGTGAGTTTTAAGCCACCGGGTCCGGGACACGAACCGCGGTCGACTACGTGGGAATCCAGCGACATAGCCATTACGCTAACTGCTGGTTCCCAAAGCTTTGTATATTTTGATGGTCTCTTGTTAGGTACATAAATGTTCACACTTGTTTTATCTTTTCACTGTATGAAACATGTTATTTAAGTTTATTTACATGCATGACAGCACATGCATGTGCACTAAAGAGAGAAAGAGAAAAGCACCCTTGCCACACCACAGTTCCTGCCAGGATCTTGGATATGCTCATGTGCTCCCAGGGTGTTTTCAGACAGACCTGGGCATCTGAAACCAGAGGCAGTCATGTGGCTTCCAGCACTGTGATTCATTCTGCTACCAGCTGGACCACCAGGCTGGGCCTAAACATTTTATTAATTTATAATGCCCTTCTGTGGTTCTTATAACCTTTTATGATTTAAAGGTTTTTTTTCTGTAATATTAGTATAGCCACCTCTTTTCTCCTTTGTTTACTATTTGCATGGAGTATCTTTTTCTGTCCTTTCACTTTCAATCAATTGGTGGCTTTGAATCTAAAGTGAATCTGTTGTAGACATCATATACAGTTGGGTGCCCCATAACAATGTTTCAGTCGATGACAGACTGCAATAGTCCCATAAAATGATGATAGGCCATACGATGTGGCCTAGCCATGTAGTAGGCTATACTATCTAGATTTGTGTAAGCACACTTTACAATGTTCACACAGTGATCAAATTGCTTAACGATGTGTTTTTCAGAACATATCCCCCTCATTAAGCGAGGCATGACCATAGTTGGATCATGTTTTTTCATTCATTCTATCAATCTCTCTTATTTACATTTAAGGTAATTACCAATGAGGAAAGACTTAACTCTGTCGTTTTTGTATTTGTTTTCTAGATGCCTTACAGGTGTAGTGTTCCTCAGTTCCTGCATTACTATCTTCTTTGATGTTTAGTTGATTTTCTGTAGTAAATGTTTAAGTTCCGTTCTTGTTTTGTTTGGGTATGTATTCCACGGTTACAGCTATCTTCCTTGTGGCTGCCACGGGAATCACATGCAACAGCCTAGAGTTATAACACTCTAATTTGAATTTATAACAGCTTAACTTCAATAGCTCTTAGACTAATATTTTTTTTAATTAGTCTCTTAAATCACAAAGAAGGTGGGACAAGAAGTAGCACAGAGGTGACACAACTGGCCAGGTGAGAGAAGGATCCCAAGTAAATATCCTGGGACCTCCTGAGCACACCAACTGTACCTGGGTGCCTGTGTTCTGGACTGAAAGAAACTGAGGGTGGATATATCTCTCTTTCTTTCTCTCTCTCTTTCTGTCTCTCAAGAAATAAATAAACTTCTTTTAAAAACATCAGGTAGACTGGGACCAGCAGATGGCATAGCAGTTATGTTGCTGAACTCCCACATGGCAGACTGCAATTCGAGTTGCGGACCCAGTGGTTTGAAAATCACGCCAAGCGCATGTGTATGCGTGCCCAAGATCCCAGGAGGAGAATGAGGAGAAGGGATTGCAGTGTGGTCACCACCCTCTTCACCTTCCCCGTCCCTCTCTCCAGTGAGCACAAGCACCCTAAGGCAAAAACCTCTCAAAAAAAAAAAAAAAAATCAAATAGACAGGACCAGTAGATGGCATAGTGGTTGGGGTGCTGGATTCCCACATGGCCAAATATGGTTCGATTCCAGGACCTGGCGGCTTGCTTTCTCATTTCTCTCTCTCTCACTCTCTCTCTTTCTATCTCTCTGGTAAGCATGTGTGCCCTGCAGCACATTTTAAAAATAATAATAATACATAAAATTAAGTAAATCTTTAAAAATATCAAGTAGACAAGAAAAGTAGAGTTATAAACTATTGTCACAATACTATGGGCTTTGATAATTGCCCATGCATTTACCTGAATTGAGACCTTTATTTTTCATATGGCTTCAAGTTATGGTCTGGTGTCCTATATTTTACTTTATAGGACACTCATGAGCGTTGATTGCAGGATAGGTCTAATGGTAATGAATTCCTTCAGCTTTGTTTATTTGAGACTGTCTTGTTCACCCTCACTTTTGAAGGATAGTTTTGGTGGATGAAAGATTCCTATTTGACAAAAAATATTTTGAACATATTGGTCTACTGCCTCTGACCTTCAAAATGTTTTGTGAGAAAGCTGCTGATAATCTCACTAAGGATACGTTGTATCTCACACTGCTTTCAAGATTCTCTCTTGAGCCAGCCTTGTACAATGGTAAACAGTGCACTGGGAACCAGATCCCATAAGGCCAACCATGGTTCGAGTTCCAGCTCTGGTAGCTTGAAAAACACACTGGGCATGTGTGCATGTGTGCCTACAATCCTGATGGGATGCTAAAATGAAGGAAAGGGGATTGTGGCATGACCATTCCCCATTGTGAAAGAGAAA